ACGAGAATTTAGTATTTAAATCGACTTTAGAACACTAATTAAAAATGCCGGGAGTAAAATTTTACATACAAAAACAGGTAACTATTTCTATAGTTTCTAAATCTATTACATTTATATGTACTGAGTTAAATTTCCTTTATAGATTTGTATTACCTGCACATGCCAAAAAAAGAGCGCATTTGCTCCAAATAAAGGCATTGTTAATACGATATCATTCATATGATTCAGATATTTATTCTTAATAAAAGTTTTCTTACGTTCTCTACAACGTCAGCTACTCTCATTAATTTGCTAATTCCTTAATCCGATATTCTACTAAATTCCAAGTAGCACATTCTTCGTCTATGGTAATAATTCTTGGTTCTTGATAATAGTAGTTTGTACTGTTATGCTGCCCGATCGTTACTCTAATTATCGACATTGTTGAGAATCGTTGATATAGTATGTGATTTTGACTACCCAGACAGATTGTGGATAGTATTGTTGGTTAACTGTCCTGAAAATAAGCATCATCCTTCTACACTATTTTTTTAAATCTCCGATTAGCGGGAATGACAACACTAATAGTTCTAAGATCACCTAAACGCGCTTTTAAATAATGATGATCGCAATAAAGGTATTAATAGACGTTCTATTAGTAAGTTCAAAAAATTAATAATTATAATCGTTTTTTTGCTATTACAAATCAAAATTAATGGCCAATACGAGTCGAAGAGCTATAGCTTAACAACTAAGACGCGCACGTGAACGAGAGTTGCAAACATGTACAAGTGAGCCAAATAGAAGAGCTATTGCTCAGCAAGAAAGAAGAGAACGCAAGAGAGTCGGGAATACAGTAAATCAAAAAGCGGTTTCTCAACAGGAAAGAAGAAGGCGCGAAAGAATAGAAAATACAATAGATCGTAGGTCTATTGCACAACAATCAAGGAGAGAACTTGAGCGAGTGAAAAGAGCACATACTATACCAGACAATGAAATATTTGCACAATTTCAACTGCAAAATATACGACATGATCTCGGTCATATGGATACAGCGTGTATTCATTGCGGTGCACTCCATTGGTTAGATGAGCGTATTGTAAACTCTTCAAAAACTAACCCAAAATTTGGGTCATGTTGCAGGCATGGAAAAGTTATTCTTCCTCTTCTCCATGATCCACCTCTTCTTTTGCGGCAGCTTTTTGAGAGTCAAGATAAGCAATGTAAGGAATTTCGTGCAAACATATGCCAATACAATGCAGCACATGCGTTTACTTCGCTAGGAGTAAATATTGATCAAACTATTCTTAATGGGCGTTCTCCGTATAGCTTTCGTATTCATAGTGAACTGCGCCACCATTCAGGTTCACTCCTTCCAGAGTCTAGCTTGAATGCAAATTATGCGCAACTTTATATTTATGATCCAGATATTGCACATCAAATAAGGATGGGACGAAACAAGAATTTACATACTCAAACAATGTGGGAATTACAAGAAATTCTTCGGGAACATCATGCGTTTTATCCTATATATCAACAAGCTCATGAGATTCTTTCTCAAGTATGTGAAGAAGGTGTATCTGAAACTGACTTAGCTGTTCATCTTCATTTCAATGCAGCAACAGATCGACGTCGCTATAATCTTCCCACATCAAATGAAATAGCTGTTATTTTACCTGGTGATGGATCGGAGCCAAAGGCAATGCATGACATTGTAATTCGATTACGTGGAGGACCACTAGAACATATTCACAAAGCTCATCCAGCATATTTACCACTTCATTATGTGCTTTTTTTTTCACATAGAGAGCTTGGTTGGCATGCGGAATTGCATCACACTTTAATAGATGAATACGGACAATATATTGAAGATTAGAGTAAAGCCTCATGCCTGACGCAGATGGATTTTTACTCATTTCGTCTTTTTTCACATCATACAGAGTTCTCGACGATTCTTCGAGGTGGGAAGTTATTGCAAGAATTTATGGTAGACGCATGGGCGACAACTGAGCAAAATAGACTGAGGTACTTACGTATGAACCAGGATGTACTACGAGCAGATGTATATCAGGGCCTCGCAGATGCATTAGGAACTATTGTAAATGAGGAGATAAATTTGAATAATCTTGGGCGGCGTATAATCCTTCCTTCAACACATATCGGAAGTGCACATCATATGTTTGAGATTTTTCAAGATTCTATGGCTATAACCCGATTTTATCACCATCCAGATATTTTTGGAATGATGACAGCAAATCCAAATTGGCCAGAAATCATTAATAAATTGCTACCCGGTCAGACTTCGGCTGACAGACCCGACCTGGTAGCACATGTATTCGAGCTCAAACGTCACGCTCTTCTTCATGACATTAAGAGCAACAATATTTTTGGGAGAGTGGCGGCTTATGTATATACAATAGAATTTCAAAAATGTGGCCTCCCTCATATGCACTTTTTAATCTTTCTTCATAGAGACGACAAAATAAAAGAACCTGCTGATGTTGATTGTGTCGTATGTGCAGAGTTTCCTGACCGAGAGACTGATCAAATGCTCTTTGACACCATATTACGATGTATGATTCATGGCCCTTGCGGCACCCGTAATTCTCAGGCTCCATGTATGGAAAATGGAAAATGCCAAAAGAAGTATCCAAAAAACTTTCACGATACGACGTCAATGGATGCCGACGGATATCCTCATTATGCAAGAAGAAATGATGGTCATGTTTTTAATGTTGCTGGCAAAACTATTGATAATAGAGATGTAGTGCCATATAACCCAGCTCTCAGTCGAAAATATA